TTCTGCAAATACCCACTTGTATGGGGAACAGCGCAATCCTATGGCCGTAGCCCCAGACTGGGAGATGGTGAGACTTCGAACAAGTCTCTGCATCTTAGCTTTCCTCTCAGGAAAAGTGGGCTAATGCTGTTTACTCTCCACTGTCAGGTTCTTTGCTGTCTGTGGAGCAGAAGCCCTCTACAGGTGTTCGGTATGAGCAGGATAGCTCCTGCTGGCTCGGATGGGTCACATAAAACCAGCCAAAGTTGGACATGATATGCTCACCAGGCTCAGCCTAGTTTTCCATCTTACTCAATGTCCATTCAACGCTCACAGTGGATTTCCCCGAGTGGGGGAGTTTGAAAAAGGAAGCAGAGAGCAGCCTGCAGTGTGATTCTGGCTGTCCCCTCCCCTCACAGTCCTGTTGTTTCCAAAGGCTGCATTTGTGTCACCGGTAGAGCTGGGCAGGAAACAGCTTTCACGTCCCAAGAACATTTTTGAGATTTTAAGAAAACCCCCTTCCACGGTGAGACCTTTTGCTATTTTCACGGGGCCCTCACCTGAGCTGTGGGGGGAATCCCTGCTCCAATGACTTCTTCATTATGTGTACAAAGCTGCAACCGAGAGATTGAGAGTTTTGAGACCCAGCCCACAATAGCCCCGTGGTTAGGGGACTCACCTGGGAGAGCGAGACCTGGCTTCAAGGCGCTGCTGCAGATCAGGCAGAGCAGGGATGTGAGCCTAGGTCTGCCATAGCCCAAGTGACTGCCCTAACCACGGGGTTATTGGCTATCAAAATGGGTCCATTCCTGTGAAAAGTTTCAGTTTTACCATGTCAGCTTTTTCTGATGAAAAAATGTTTCATAGAAAAATTCCTGAGCAGCTCTAATCATTCCCCTGTGATTCAGCTTTCTCTAGAAGGCAAGGAGCTAGCCACCAGCAGCCTCCTCCTCTGAGATCTCTGCTACAGTCAAGCCGGATGGGAGATGCCACCTGGTGTGTGTCTTGTTTATAATTCTTGTCAGTGCACACTGCAGCAGACTCCCCAGCAGAGTATGTGTTATGGTATTATACGTCCCTCCTCTTTCTCCACATCCTTCCTTCAGACTGAGCCCCTTGAACCAATACCCATGTTTGGTAATTTCCTCAAGCTCACATACACACAAGGAAGCAAAACACACAGGTTACAATACATATAGTATGTCAGGTTGGGAAGTTGGAGTGTATTCAGAGATCATTTTGCAATGCATACAAATGGTGCGTGATCACAATTCTTTGCAGATTCAGAACTGTTCCCTAGACATTGCCTGATTGGTTTTGATTAGAGATGGGCCTGAACTGAAACCTCAGATCCAGACCCCTCTGAATTCAGGAGTATGGGGAGGTCAGATTTGAATCCCTAGATCTGAACCTGGCCCCATGTTTTTGGTCACAGACCACACCCCAAACCAGAAAGACCCTGGGTAACAGTTCCAGTTTGGATGTGGCTTAAGATGGCAGAAATCTTCTGAGAATGAATGATGAGATTTCAGCATCACTGAATCTGTCCCCAAGTCCTGGCCTGACCCTCATCTATACCTGGACAAGCCACACACACCCCCCAGCCCCTAGCTAGCTTTCCTGATCTGTTTCTAAAGAGCCAAGTCAAAAAGGCAGTTACACTCTCAGGGTACGTCTACACGGCTATTAAAAACCTGCAGCTGGCCCGTGCCAGCTGACTCAGGCTTGTGGGGCTCAGCTTAAGGGGCTATTTAACTGTGGTGTAGACATGCAGGCTCGGGCTGGAGCCTGGGCTCTAGGACCCTGTGAGGTGGGAGGGTCCCAGAGCTCAGGCTGCAGCCTGAGCCAGAACAAATGTCTACACCGCAATTAAACAGCCCCTTAGCATGAGTCCCGCGAACCTGAGTCAGTTGGCATGGGCCAGCCATGGGTGTCTACTTGCAATATAGACATACCCCTGCAATGATCTCAGTGCAAGCACACCTGTGCACCCATTCCATGCAGCGCTGACATCAACAAAGCTCTGCTCAGTCACAGGGATTTGCCCCCTTGAAGCACATTGCATGACCGGGGCCTTAGCTTTTGAAAACAGCCTGGTAGATGCAGGGACCTTTGTCACCAAGGTTTCAAATAAGTGTATTTGTATGCATTGTTGTTCATGCAGAATCATCACAGGATATCGCCTGTGTCTGCAGGGTTGCATGGGGCCAGATTTTTAAATCACTCCGTGCTGGCCCAATCTGCTCTCATTGCAGTTTTGCCAGTGAGCACAAAGTTAGGCCAATGCTGAGCACTGGTGAAAATCTCACTCCGTGGTGGTAAACACACCAGCACCCTGTATACACTAGAGTTTCCACTGTTATTTTCACTGGTGGAGATTTATTGCAAATTGCCAGTGTAGAATCAGCCTTGGGGCTAGAGCACCCCTCCCGACACATCACTCCTTCAATGTTCTATGGGGTAAAGTTTTTCCCTACATGAACTGTAGCAATCATTTGCCATTGGACTGTTCTGGTGACTGTATGAACCAGAGGTGGCAGAACCCAAGGGCTCCAGAATCCCATTTCATTGGCATGTCACTGGCTGGAAGTTGAAGCTAGGCAAATTCAGACTGGAAGGTACCAATAGCAAGGGTAATTAACCATTGGAACAATTTACCAATGGCTGAGGTGAAGTCTCCATCATTTTAAAACCAGATTGGATGTTTCTCTGAAAGATCTGCTCTAGTTCAAATAGGAATTAACTCAGGGAAGTCTTATGGCCTGTGTTATGCAGGAGGTCAGACTAGATGACCGCAATGGTCTCTTCTGGCCTTAGAATCTATGACTATGAGTCACATGTGCCAGTGTAATCAATGAAGGGGGGATTTTTTTCTCTGTCCCTTTCAGCTTCTTTTGAAATTCACTGGAATCTCACACTGAAACCTGCGTCTATTTCAGCCTTCGAGTTTCTTTCGGATCTTGCCACACGAATGACCTGCGGTCGCTTTCTTAAGAAAAACCAAAACCGCAAGGAAACCCAATGCAAAATCCCTAGTTACTACCCACCTTGCTAGCTGTGGCCTCCTATGACCCAGTCCCAGTGCAGCAGCAACAGGAACATATTTCATGCATGATGGCAGGGAGAGGGGCAAGTAGGACGTATGCTCCTTTCCCCCACGCCCCTGTTTGTAGTTGAGAGGATGGCAGCGGTCTCTGAAGATTGAAGATCATAGAATCATACAATCGTAGGACTGGAAGGGACCTCAAGAGGTCATCTAGTCCAGTCCTCTGCACTCATGGCTGGACTATGTAATAACTAGACCATCCCTGAGAGGTGTTTGTCTAACCTGTTCTTAAAAACCTCCAATGACGGAGATGGGGGAGGTGGCCAATTGGCCACTCTCTGAAGACACTGGAGAGGAGATAAGAAGAAGGTCCCTGGCCCGCCACTCCAGAGAAAGGGCTTAAAGCAACCTGGGTTTGGGAAGGATTTGGAACTGAGGTCTGCAGAGTAGGCCTAGGCTGATACCTGATGATATTTTGAATGTGGGGGTCTGAAAGTTAAGCCTCCTGAATGTGAATATTGTCTGACTCAGAATAGTGCGGCATCTGCCTATCTCTGATCCCACAGGAATGATAACTCAGTCATGCAGAGTCTCTGTATCAGTGACATAGACAGTGGCATTGTACAGGGTGGCACAGCTGGCCTCTCCAGCATAATGTTGGATGTCAGCAGGTGATGGTGCATCTGCTCAGCCCTCCAGTGTGAAAATCCCTCGCCACTGAAACCCACCAAACTTCATCTCTGCACACTTTGAGGAGTGCCTGTAAAGCTCTTCAGTGTTTCTTCAATAACCTGGACTGGCCATTTATCCCTCTTCTCTTTCAATCCCTCTCCTGGACTGGGCCCATCCTGTGTTTGTACATTCAGAGCTTAGCATTTCAAGGTGGGCTAATTCTAGTGCACGTGTTTCTATTAGGTTGTATGGCACTCCAGACACTTTGACTAGGGGCAAGATTGGCAGTATGCCTACAGTTAATGATGAATTGAAATATAAATTTATTATTATTATTATATGTGTCTGTAGTGGGTGAGAGGTATGAAATATGGCCACTGCAAGAACCAGACATTCACATTTTTTTGGATTTGTGATACTTTTATATTAATAGCCAAAGAGTTGCAGAGTCCTAAAGAAACGATTAGCCAGAGAGACCAGCGTTCTAGTATCTAGGGAGGAGAAAAAGAGATTATATAAAATGCTGAACAAGGCAGGGGATAGACAAACAGAGGGTGTGTATGAGGATAGATAGATGTGTATGGGGACAGATGGATGTGTATACGAACAATTAGATAAATAGATGAGTATGAGGACAGACAGAGTGGTGTGTATGGGGATAGACAGATCTGTGTGTGGACAGACAGAGCAGTGTGTATGAGGATAGATGTGTATGGGGACAGACAGACAGAGTGGTATGTATGAGGATAGATGTGTATGGGGACAGAGAGACGGAGCAGCGTGTATGGGGAGAGAGAGGTGTGTATGAGGATAGACAGACAGACCAGTGTGTATGAGGACAGACAGCTAGAGGTGTCTGGGGACAGACAGACAGCGGTGTGTATGAGGATAGATGTGTCTGGGGACAGACAGACAGACAGACCAGTGTGTATGAGGACAGACAGACAGAGCGGTGTATGAGAATAGATGTGTCTGGGGACAGACAGATGGAGAGGTATGTATGAGGATAGATGTGTCTGGGGACAGACAGACAGACCAGTGTGTATGAGCACAGACAGACACGAGTGGTCTTGCTCCCCAGCGCTGGCTCCTTGGCGCCCCGTGCCGTGGCGGTCCGGGCTCGGCTGCGCTCCAGGGCAGAGGCAGCCGCTCAGCCCCGCCCCTCCCGCCAGCCCGCAGCCCGCCCCCGCCCAGCCAGTCCCGGTCCCTCTCTGGTGCAGCCCAGCGGCGGCTGCGTTGCCTCGGCTCCATCCCGGCCATGGAAGCGGCTCGCTGCGGAGACCCAGCCCGGCGCCGCGGGCTGTAGCGCTGCCGCGGGACCCAGGATGGGCAGTGAGCCCCGGCGGGAGCTGCCCTGCAGGTGGGTGAGCGGCGCCCCGGAGCCCGGCTGGGGCTGGACGCCGGGGGCCGATCGGAGGCCGGCTGGCCGAGCCGGGCTGCAGGGGGGCGGCTGGGGCAATGGTGGGGCTGGCGTCCCGGCAGGACCCGGGGGAGGGGGACCCCGAGCGGGGAGGCACCAGCTGCCCCCGGCCGGACATTTCCCCTCAGCCCGGGTGCTGCCCACCCCGCGACCCTGGTAGCACCCTGCAGCCGGGCCAAGGGCGCCCTGCGTGGGGTGAGGTCTGACTTCCAGGCTTGGTGAGGTCCCGCCTGTTGACAGGACCGATGGGGAAAGGCCCCGGGTGGTGAGATACAGAGGTGAGTCATTTCTGAAGTTTGTTTTTCTACCCGAGCCTGGGTGGGTGTGAAAAGTTCCTGGGCTGTTTATGGGCCATCCCAGGTGTGGGACCCGGTTTGGTGGGGATGTCCCAGCTCAGCCCTGCCGGCGGGCGGGGAAATTCCAGGGGCTCTCCAGCCTGTCATTGCAGTGGCTGGATTTTTGAGCCTCTGTCTCTGCTGCCCCAGGTGGGAGAGCAAGCAGTGACCTGCTCCCCCACTGCAGGAGGATGTTAAACAGTAGCCTGTTATGGCAGGATTGAATGCACTGGCTCTCCCAGGCCCCAAGCCCTGGAAATACCTGGACCACATGCTTTTGATCAGTCCTAATCCATGTGTGATTTGTGAGAGGGGAGCTGCCTTCCCCTCTGAAGCAGCAGGGATCAGGAGGACATGGGGGTATGCACGAACAAGGAGACAGAATGCATTAAAAACGGCACATAGGGAATGGAAAGTGGTTCTGGACTCTGCCCAGATGGACACAGGAGTAAATCATACTCCTAGGAATGTAGAGTCTAGAAGCAGACAAGACCCACCAGGTCTTTTACATCCACGTTCCTATCAGCGTGGGATTGTTCCCTGTGGAGCTTCATCCAATCTAGTGTAAATCTGGACACCGTCCCTTCACCTTTCTCTATGGCAGGAATTCCTCCAATCTAATGGAGACCAATGAGCTACTCTCCTTTAGTGCGTCTATCTCCCATCCCTAGTCAAACTTCACCGCAAGGATCACTTCGCTATACAGCTGCAACTGGCTGGAGCTTGGATCCAGGCTGGTGCCTGTTTTGCTCTTGCTTGTCCTGACCACCTCCTAGAAAGGCTTAATGCAGATGTTACAGGAGGGAAAAGACTCAGTTGATTGAACTAGCTGCAGCGTAAGAGATATACAGACACAACCTCTCAGGCCTTTATCTCCATTAGCATGTTTGTTAAAATTGCACACTATTACTAGCACTAGCTCAGCTTCACTGGCTGATTGTCTGTAGCAGTGTGCCCCACTGTCACTACCAGCAGTCATGGTGCAACAGTGTGAGATGAAAGTTGGAGTTGCCTGTGTTGCTGTGTCATGGGATCTCTGGTAGTGCTAAGCAGCGACAGTGTTGTTATTCAGTAGTGAGTTTTTTAAATAATATGTTTGATGTATATTCTGAAAGCTTCCATTTAGGAAAATGAAAAATGCCATTTTAAAAAAAAATTACATTTTGGGGGGGGAAAAACACTATTCCAGTCTTTTACTTTTTTATAGTAATACTGAGGTGGTTCTGAAAACTGGTGCAGAAATTTGAATACAAACAATTCCAGAGCACGAAGCAGATGTGTGAATTTCAGATCAGAGTTTGTAATGAGAAATTTGGAAGGGAAGAGGATAAAAATATAAAGGAGATTTATATTTGGCACCTTCCAAGCCGCATATGATAATCTTCAGAAGTTTGAGAGTTGGGCACCCCTGCCAGGGCTCAGAGCTTCTGAAGCCCCGAGCCCTGGCAGGTGCCTCCCGTGGGGCTGAAGCCCCTAGACTTCCCTCCCCACTGGGCAGAAGCCCCTAGCCCTACCATCCCCTGATGCTCCCCTCCCCTCTCCTCCACCCAGGAGTGCTCAAATTACAGCCAGCTGGACAAGTATTGCTCCTGGATCTGTGCTATACAATCCATAGGTGCCCTGCTCTTTGTGACGGAGGAGAAGTGGTGTGGAAACACAACAGATCCAAGCATGCAATGCTCCATCGTGGTCCAGGTGTTCAGGCCCCTTTGTATGCCTGGCTACGCAGCCTCCATGGATTGTGCCTGTGAATTAAAGATGAAGGCAGCTGCTATCTGCGTCACTTCATGTAAACTTGATGCAGCCTTTGGGCTCCTGTTGAGATGCCAACACAGCCTGTCAGTTGGGCAAAGTTTGGACATCCATGATGTGATGGGAGGGGACAGCAAACATGTTGGAGCAGGGTCCTGAGGTTCTTAGCAGGCAACCAAAGAGAGAGGCTACATGGGAGGCAGGGAGAGAAGCAAAACTAAACTATGTTGTGGCTTCTTCTACTTAACTTTATAAATAAAAGTTCACGTTGTGATGAAAAAGAAGAACTGAATCTAGATGAAAGCGTCAGAGGAAAATTACCACACTCTGCTCTCAGAAGATCCTGGCTTTAACAACAGCAGACTAGTGCTTGCGGCTTTGAATAAACTAGCAAACTCTGTAGCTGTAATTACACCACTGGTGTAGCTCCGCTAGTGAAAGAAACACTGTGGACACTAGCATAGACAAGACTGGGGCATCTTTGTCTTTGTGTCAGCTCAGTGACAGGAGTGCTTGCAGCTTTTGTATGCTACAGCCACAGATCAAGTGGGGATAGGTTTCAACTTCTATATTTATTTAATAAAGTGGATATTTACCTGCCCCAATGTGTGGGGTGCATAATTTATGTCTTGGGGTTTTCCTTGTAAACTTTCAAGTGGATGCCCAGACGTGGGACTATGTGCAAGGCATATGGGGCGAGGAGACCATGGGCTGAGCCCTGCAAGAGCGTGTGTGTGCCTGGAACAGTGTAGATTCTGTTGACTTTTAAGCTCCGCTCCTCTTTAAATGCTTCAGAGCTCTGTAGTTCCATTATCTGGAATAGGTGAGAGGATTGGATCAGGTTCCTATGGAAACAGGGGCTCCCCCACTGGCTTCGCTCCACGGGTCCGACGTGTGTTTTTCATCGCTAGCTGAAACTTTGATGCACAGTTGTGTGGTTCACAGAGCTGTTTAGCTGGGGAGATTTTAGGGTTGGAAATTTCATCCTGATGGTTCTGGGAAATATTACTGCTCATTGATACACTCGCTGATCTCATGCTTTTGTTTCTCGCTCAAAGAAGATTCCCTCTCCCCTTCCTCAGAAGGGCCTGGAGGGTGGTGATCTTCCATTGCCAAACAGAGTCCGTCAATGCCACTCTTAGCTTGATGTGTGGTGCTCCTTTCCCATCCAGGATCTGAGCAAACTCTCTTTGCAGCACTGCCATCCTTTACCAGCCCAGTGACTGAGGGGGCTGGGCCTGGGGCTCTTAAATGTATGAAAGTGTGATGAGTTAGCTCTAGAATCACCAGGCTGCTCTACCAGCTACTTCCTGAAACCACACAGAATGACATGCACTTCACGGGTGCTGCAGGGCTGTGTGTTTTTGGTCAGCATGCTTCCGCATTGCCCGCTGAGCTGCTGCTCAGGTGAATGGGCAGTAGTTAGCAGTAGCATTCTTGCCTTGTGTACTGTGAATGCCATGCAGTAGTGAAATGCTTAAAGATACACAAGGGCTGTTGCACAGGCAACTTGGTGCCGTCATCGTGCTGTGCTGTTGCCCCCTCTGTGAGGTGTCCCAGTAGGGTGGACACGACCTTCCCTGTCCTGGTCATGGGCCTAGTTGTTAGGGAAAAATCCATTTTTTATTGTCCTTCTGGGGAGGAGTGAGGAGAGCAAATGCAGTTTCCAAACTCACTTCCCGTTATAGACACCAAAAGGGGGCTTTTGTGTTTTGATGATCTTGTCTTTGCCTGCCAATTAACCCCGCATGAGAACTTGTCTCCCTAATGATGCTTCCATGGGACTCCTCTGGTGTTTTAATTGCAAAGGTTTGAGCAGTTAGCAAGCGATGAACATGGAACGTACGCTGTGCAGTAGCTAAAAGACACAGCTCTTTGGCAAGCCTTCATTGGGAAATAAGGACGCTGGCAGGAATGCTTCGGAGATGCAATTTTCTTAATGAAAGCTACTGAATAGGCAGCCTCATGAGGAAGAACAGGCTCTTGCAGGGCGCTGCCAGTTGCGCCTCTGTAGTGTTAATTTTGTATTTCCTCTTCATTGTTTCTAATACCCTCTTGGAAGCTTGCGGATAAACACTTTGTTTTCCTACTAATTGTGTCCTGTTTGGCAAGCAGTGGTTATAACACATGTTTTTTTGGACTACATGAACTCCTCCTAGGTTGTTAGTCTTTGATTTCAGGCTTTGCCATTTAAAAGGCAGCTTACATTTGCAGTAAGATGATCCCTATCATCAATATCACCATCTCTCAATGATCTCCCCATAGAGATTCTATAGGCAAAAGCATCGCTGAGTTTTAAAATATATTTATGAGAACTGTAGCTGGAGCTTTCATGTGTGAAATTGATGCAGTTCCCCTGTGAAAAGTGGTTTTGTAAAAAATGGGTTGTCATGTTTGTGTCTTGATTGTTTCTGTGCCCAGTGTGCTCTATTTTCAAGAAAGGTGTTATCTAAATGACAGCCCTGAAATCTCTCCCAGAATCGGAGAGTTAAGCTGGGTTCTGCCTTTCATGCCTCATGACCTGTAATAAAGATTCAAATTCTTCTCTGGGACAGTTGTGCAACCTCACTGGTTGCACTGCACGCACACCTGTAACTAATTGGTTAGCTAAGCTCCAGTTACAGGGATGATCAATTTATGCACAAGAAGGAATACACTCCAGAATGGTCTTTCTCTCCCAGTTGTGCTGGCCCTGCAGGGGAACAAGGGGTAAAAGCAGAACAGGTGTAGTTGTGCCACTAATGTTAAGCACATGTCCGTTTTGGAGTTAAATAGGAAAATGCCAAATGTTACTTGGCCAGCTACTTATAGCTCATCCTCACTGCAGATCCACAGAGGGAAAGCTCCGTTGAA